TCATGAAAAATAATCCTAAAACATGTGGAAACCATTCTTGGAAAGATTTTATAGAGATAAGAAGGAAGGAAACAAGCAATTACAAAGTGTCTGGTATGTGCCAAGCCCCGTGCTAAGCACTTTAGATATCTTGTTTGATTCTCGGCAACCTTGGGAGTTGGTGCTATTATTAGCTCCATTTTACAGATGAGGAAACTGAGATAGACAGAGGTTAAATTACTGGTAATTGTCTGCAGCTAGATTTGAACTCAGGCCTTCCTGACCCAGTACTCTATTCACTGCACCAACTAGCCTCCTCTTTTTCAAATGTGACAAAAGACATTTGTTGGTAATTGATGATGCCATATATATGTATACATACATATTATAGTAATGTAAGTTTTTTCCACTCTTGGTATCCTTTCCTACCTGAGAGAGTTTGGAAATTGATCTTTCAGTGCTTTTAAAGTTGTCACCTCCAATATAGATTTCCTCTCTATGTACTTGATCAGGTCCAGCCAGGTTCTTCCTAAGTCTGTCTTTTTAAGTGTCATTTCAGCCTACTTTTATAGCCCATCAGGCACTAAGTGTTAAAATCTAAATATGGAAGGTCTGCTATCTTTGATGATGAAAACAGATGATTTGAGTTTCTTTATTTTCTTCCCTCTAATGTCACCTATAAATATTTTTGGTGATTTTGCTCAGTTGACATGAAGCCTCAGCTTTCTATAGATTTGTTTCCCCCTTGTTATTTGTCACTATTTTGTGAGGTGACAGTGTTTTTAACTTTCCGCCGTTCTCCTTCTGTGATTCTTTACTCAGAAAATTGAAGTCTTCCATTGTGGGCTCCTTTTTTTTTTCTTTCTGGTTATATGCCTTATATCTCCTCAACTTTATTCCCCTTTCTTTTCTTCTTTGTTCTATTCTGAGAATTAGGTGGCCCTTCTTGTTCAGCCCTTCTGCTTGGATCTTTGATCCTGTCCTTTCCCATCTTCGGGAGCTTACTCCTTCAATTATACTTTCTTCTTTCTCTCTGATGTTTATTTTTTCTTGTTCTCCTGGTTCCTTCTCTTCTGTCTTACAGACATGTTCAATTCTCTCCTTTTCTGAAATATTTGGTTGTCTTTTTCATATCCTCAAGCTAACTTATCCTATTTTTTTTTTCACAAACTCCTAGGGGCAGCTAGGTGGCGCAGTGGATAGAGCACTGGCCCTGGATTCAGGAGGACCTGTGTTCAAATGTGGCCTCAGACACATAACAGTTAATAGCTGTGTGACCCTGGGCAAGTCACATAACCCCATTGCCTAGTCAAAAAACCCCCCCCAAAACCCCCCCCCCAAAACTCCTAGAAGCCATCTATCTACCTATATTTATTGCCTCTACTTTTCAACTCTAATTTACTCCTTAACATCTTGCAATCTATTTTAACTAATCTCTGAGTTTCCAAATCCAGTGACCTTTTCTCATCTTTTTTGACTGCTCTACCATTTTGGGGGGGGTGTGAGGCAGTGAGGTGAAGTGACTAGCCAGGGTCACACAGCTAGTAAGTGTCAAGTGTCTGAGGTCAGATTTGAACTCAGGTCTTATTGAATCGAGGGCCAGTGCTCAATGCACTGTACCATCTAGCTGCCCCTCCACTCCCATTTTTGACACTTGCCCTTCTTCCCATATTTTCTCTTTTCTAGGTTTTTATGAAATTATTCTCTCCTGGTTTTCCTGCTGTCTGACTATTCCTTCTCAGAATCCTTTGCTCTATTATCATCCATGCATCTCCCTTTATGCATGAGGTACCCCAAAGCTCTATCCTAAGCCTTTTTTATAAGATCACAGATTTAGAAGCCATCTAATCCAATCTCCTCATTTTGCAGGTGAGGAAACTGAGGTGCAAGGAAGTTAAGTGACTTACCTAGAGTTATGTGCTCAAGAACCATGATCTTTCTACTGCGCTACTTTGCCTCCCTTCTCTTTATAAGTTCTCCCTCAGCAATCTCATTAACTCCTCAATGTTCCATTATAATCTCTGTGCAGATAACTCTTACATCTACATATCCAGACTCTCATATCAGCTCTCTCCAACATTACCTATTGCCTGATTCCCTCCACCCAGATGTCTGAAGCTTGGTATTTCCAAAGCAGAAATCTCTCTTCTCTCTTTCCTCTTCACCATCCCCTCCCCCAGTCCATTTTCCCAGCTTCCTTATTCTACTGGGGATACCACCATTCTTTTAATCACCCAAATTTGCAACACCAGGGTTCTGCTCACCTTTTCTCCTTTTCACCTCTTGTGGTTAATATGTTGTCAAATTGTATTTGACTTCCTCGCGATCTGCTTGACTTAGAAGATGACAGCCATCAGTTACAAATATCTGTTGCTCCATTTTACTCCTCCATACCCCTCTTTGTTATTTCCCATTCACTCCTTTTCTCTAGTGTCGTAAAGAAGGTAACTTTTTTCTTGCCAAAGCCACTTTCTTGTGAACTTTTGATGTCATCCCTATCTGGAAGCTTGTCCCCTTAATCATTCCTTCCCTATCATCTTCATGCATCCCTTGTTCAGTGGCTCCTGTTATTTTTGAACATGCTTAAGTCTCCTACATTCTTAAAATTTTAATTTGTTCTTTCCATCTGACTTAGTTTGGAAGGTCACAGGGGTTTTTGGGGGGATGGAGATGATCAGATTCTCATATCCCCTGTACCCAGCATTTAAAAGCAAATGCTTTTTTAAATGAGAGATTTATGTGAAAAAGCAAGCCCATGCACAAAATTTAGATATCCTAGCAAAGCGTATTGAAAAATGAATTGATAATTTATGAATTATGATATGGGGAGCAGGCAAGCCTGGTTCTTTGAGTAGTATCTGGGAGAGAACACAACTGGCAGTGGGAAATGGGACAGCAGTCATACTTTAATGAGGACAGAGATATGGGGGGCAAACAGCACAGAAGGTACAGAGGCAAGTGGTGAAAGGGGTACAGAGGCAAATGGCAAGGGGACAGGGGTTTGGACAGTGAAAGAAGGCAGGCAGTGATGGGGAGGAGGCAGAGAGTATCACTTAGGATTAGAGTTGGAAACACTTGGTAGCACAGACCCGATGGAAATGGATGAGAAACACTCTTAACTCTTATCTGTGCTATGTTGGGGTTAGCTCATTAACATAACCAAATCATCTCAAAGTTGTCAGTAAAACTTTAAATCTAACATCATCTCAAAGTTATCAGCAATTTTTCTTATTGTGGATGTCTGGAACTTGTCTTAGATTTACGTATTGTTGGACCAGAGGTCCTGACAGCAGAATTGAAATGGCTTCTACTGATTCAGTACATACTCCCAGGATGTGAATTTTAGTTACTATGTGATACAGTTTGTAAATTGTGTTCCTTTGATCTTTGTGGCAGTTTGTACATGACTTCCAAGTTCCCCTTTCCATAACTACGACGACAACAACAACAACAAGGGTTAAAAACCCATGTTAATAGACTTATTGGGATTATGATTCCCTCTCCCACATTCTGATCTATCCAGCCTGGCCTTTTCTCTGTTCCTCACACAGGACACTCTTTCTCCCTCTCTGTGCCTTTGTACTGGCTGTCCCATAGGCCTTGAACTCACTTTTGCCTTACCTCTGCTTCATAGAATCTTCTCATTCTTTGAGTCATAACTCAGGAATCAGATCTACTTTAAAGACTTCTGCTCATTCTCCCAACTGCTAATGTTCTGCTTCCCAAATTATCTTGCATTTAATTACTTTATGTATATTTGTATTTATTGACTTTATATTTCAGCTGCATATATTTATATGCTATATATTTTCCTTCTCCATTAAAATATGAGCTTCTTTTGAGTAGGAAATGTTTCTGTCTTTTATTTGTATTATCAGCAGCTAGCACAATGCTTAGGCACTTGATAAGTACTTACTGATTGATAGATAATGAGTCAGTACTTTAGAAGGAGGCTAGATCACAGACAGCAGACCCATTCTGCCCCTGGGATCATAGTAGAAGCTTTTCTAGCTTGATTGACAGAAGTTCCCAGGTCTTGTGTTTTGCTAGAATGTTGAGAACTCGGAGTTTGATAGATGATAAGGCATTAGAGCGAAACACTTGTAGGGAATTAAATATTTATTTGTTAAATAGGATATTTAAATATTTTGTTAAAATATTCATTCAGTGGTGTTTACATACTGGTTCACATGTAGAAGTTATACACTAACTTAGAATTCCCTGAGAGCTATTGTGGGGTTTTTGGTATTGTATAAAATGTATTGTTATTTGCGAGAATGTACCCTAAAATCTATTTATTAGGTTGTTTGGGGGAGAGAGAGAGAGAGAGAGAGAGAGAGAGAGAGAGCGAGAGAGAGAGAGCGCGAGAGAGCCTGCACTGAACCCTCCTCAAGTCTTTGTGAAGTTACATCGTATAGAATTGAGAAAAAGCCATATGGGCATTTTCCTGATTGGTCTCACTTAGGCAGTAGGTAGTCTCCAAAAGAAGGACAGTTTGAGATGAGATGAATATCAGTAAGTAAGTCAAGTCTCTTTGGGGGAACTCAAAACACCAGCTTGGGGCGGACCCAAAACAAGACCTGAGGGGGACCTAAAAGGAGCACTGGGTGGAACCTAAACATTCCTTACAACCATCTGGCTTCCCTGGAGCGTCTCTAAGGGTCAGCCTTACCTCTACAGTAAGCTTTTTGGGTTAGACAGTTTTTTAGCCACATAAAACTAGGTTCAAACAGTGTGAATAAATGATAAATAATGATCCGCAGTATGAAGGGGAATACCTTGCCAAAGGTACTACAAGAATCAGAATTATAATTAAAGTTTCCATTCTGTTCTATTGTTACTATATATTTTAGTAATGTTTCACTCTTAAAAGGTGGCATTCTATATTCAAATGAAGTAATGTGTGTAAAAACGTTTTATTAATATTCTGATATTCATAATAACAGTCTAATAGTCATTCTAAAAAGGATTTAGGAAGTGGTACGTATTTTGTGTTTAACATACTCTTTTTTCCCTTTCAGTTTGTCAAATGTGGATATGCAGGCTCTAATTTTCCAGAACACATCTTTCCAGCTTTGGTTGGAAGACCTATTATCAGATCAACCACCAAAGTGGGAAACATTGAAATCAAGGTAATATTTTATTTATAAGTAAATCAGGAATGAAATCTCTGCAACTTGAAATAACAATATTTGTTAAACAAAACATAGTGATCAGCAAAGTGAAGCGTTAATGTCAGTTTAAATCTAATTTTGTTTACTTTGTGACTCTACAGCATATATTTGGAGTAAAATACCTATTAAGTTCTGTATATAATGCTTGATATTCTACTGAGGGTTTTAATCCTAGCTGCACAATAGAGTGATTTTTAGAATGCTTTTGTTCTTTAAAATTCAAAAGGTCTTTTTCTATCTTTCTATTTTATAGGGCAACTGCTGTTATATAAAAGCTTCTTTGGAAACTTGTGCATTTTCTTTCAATGCTTTGTGGCCTGATCCTGTATTTTTTCACAGTATAGCTGTGGAAACTTTGGGCGCCATGTAAATCTTATATGTTCTTCTGCTCAGCTAACACCACCGACCTCCTATATTCTGCCTTAGGAGGAAACTATGCATGTCTTCCATTTGGCTTTTGCCCAAAGGTTCTCTGGTGTACTATTTAGCTTAATCTTGGAGTGGGGATAGGAAGCAAGTAATATAGAATGTTATGGCCCTTAGAGTTCAGGAGCAGTAATTGAGAGTTGTCCATGAACAGGCCAGTGTTGTAGGTCTTATTTATGTGGTCTTTTTGTAAGACTTCTGGGTCCTATTAGAACACCAAGTCACTTGAATTAGAGATTAGGATGCAGTCAGTCTTTGGAGATGGAGGTCTACAGTAAAGTATAGATTTACAGTTCCATATAGGAGGCATTTGTTTTCTTGCTAAGTTATTTGCCAGCTCAGTGAATAAATGTACTAGCAGATACTTTTTTAAAATCTTAAATAACATGTAAAATTTAAGGCCTTTAATCCAGACTTTGCTTCTCTATATTAAAAATAAGACCAAAAATCACCAGAGAAACCTATAACAATAGAATCAGTAAAAGTGGATTTTAAAACAGAAATAAGTTGTTTGAGACAAGAAATGGATATACTAGTTTCTACCTAAAGTCCCTTACAGCTTTAGCATTCTGTCGTTATGCCTTATTTTCCAAGCGCCTTTTTTCTTTAATTCTGACTGAATTCCATCTTGAAAATTAAATCTTAATTTCAGTTTTGCCATAATTTTGATCACAGAAGTTAAGCATTTACTGTTAGTGATAAAATATGGCTGCCTTCTTTTTTAAACTGAAATTAATATTATCCTTTTTATTCAATGATATGCCTAATTGGAAATAAAGAATGCCATTTCTACTTTGCCATATTTAAACAGTATATGTTGTATAGTTATAACTTATCCTCAAATAGCATGTTCATATATTTGTACATACATGCCCTCATTCTAGGAAATGTTTCATTTTACATTTAAGGCCATGGAGTGGTTATGGGCTCTGTCTTCCTTTTCTCCATGACTTTTGCTATAAATGCAAAATGATTAGCAGAAGGGGGTTTTTCCCTCGCAATGTTTGCCTACTCTGTTCTCCATTGGCTCACTCTATTCAACTTGCCATGCATTTTGAAACTGTAATATCATATAATTTAGGTTGGAAAAATGTGGCAAAAGGGATATGACTAATTCAAGCTTTCATGCAAGAACCAGAAATATAGCTTTGAACTATGTACCTAGAGAGTATTTTTGTTTCATTTTTTATATAACTTTCAGAAAATCAGATGTTATTAACCTTAATTAATGAATTTGGAGGGATGCTTGGAATTTGAAATTTCCTATGTTTGATGGATACTTTCTGTTTCATTCTTTTCAGCTAACTTGGTTATTAACTACAGAAAGAAATTGGAAATTTAAATCATAAATAGCAAATTCCATTTATAAATAAGGTGCCTGAACCAACTATTCCTTTTTTAGAGTTAATGATACTGACCATGTTAATTTGGCCCTGATTTATTAACTCAGTAAAATCATAGCAGTACTGCATCTGACTTCTACTTAATTTGTCTCTCTTGCTTGTGTGTTTAAAATTTTTAGTGAGGATTTTATTTAGGCCTTTCTGACTCTTACTTCTACCTTCTCTCTCTTCACCTTTCTTGACCTGTTGAAGTAGAATAACAAGATGGTAAGTGAGGTTATACCATGCTCTGTTTGTTTTCCACTTTTGCTTTATGGGACCAGTAGCTGTTATTTTGTGTCCCTTAGTATTTGGGAGGGGGGATATTGCCATAATTTTTTTAATATATTCATTCATTTTTTTTTAAACTTTTTTTTCCTTCATTGCTTCAGTTTAGTGGCAACTAATTTAAGTCTTATGCTTTTTTCTGAATGGGACATGTACCAAGGACCAAACATTCTAATCACTAACATGGTTTTCACTTTTTTTTTGTCTACCATGTAGAAAAATTTAATAGTTAAAACGGAATGTGGTGTGCATTATATTAGAATTTAAGTGATTATATACAGGATTACATAGTGAAAGGGATTAGTAGAATTTTCAGGTTGTAAATAAGTTAAATTGACATGGCTATTTCAATTAAACATTTTGATCATAGCCTATATATATTCATTATACTCTATGTGATCTGCAAAGTATCTGAGTAAAATTTCAATATGCAAGTGAAATATAAACAGAGAGAAAAGAAGGAAGAGAAATTGATGAGTTTCTTCTATTATCACTAGTGAGGAATAGTAGGAACCACAAGCCTGTGACTAAGAAAAAGAGGGTCTTCTTAAGAATTTCAAGTCAGTGGTTATTTCATTTTTCCAAAGAAATGCAGTTGTGCAGTAACCTTTTTATGTGAACCATACAGCTTTGTCCCCAGATTTGTTCTATCCTTTTATTCTATTTCCTTGAGATTTAAAATTTTTTAAAATCCATTTGCTAACTTTATTTCTGAATATTTTTAAAGACTTTAAAATGTCTACTTTTTAACTTTTCCCCCTCCACTTGAAAATTAAGAATGATAGTTGTATGAAAATGTGGTAAGATAAATGTCGAATGATTGTAGTAATTGTGCAAAGCATTTTAGGCATTTGGTCTTTGTCATGTTAGTTTCCTATTAAATATCACATAGTTTAAAAATATTGGGGAATACCTAGGTTTAGCCCAAAATAAGTGACAAAATTTAATATTAAAGCTCTAAAAAGGTACAAATTAAGATCAGGTCAAATGTTATTAACATTTTTATAGAGAGTAGTGTGAGTGTATAACAACATTCTGTGTGCTTTTTATTTAGTGTTTGAAGTTCTTTTCAAAATTCAGATTGTCTAGAATCTTATGACTTTAATTTAGTTGCATATTTCAGAATTGTTCTTATTGGTAATTGGAATTTACACTGCCTGCTGTTTGTAAAATATAATTTTTGCTGCTTGTTGTATGTATTAACATCTTTCTAAGGCATTTCAGATAGTTACCATAATTTCTAATTCTTTTCAGGCAGCAGGTGATGTTTTAGGCTTGAGTGCCCAGTGAAGACTACTGCTGTCAAGAGAGTAGTAATAACTCACACCTTGTTTCTAAGGTCTGAGGGCAGGAGGCATAATTTTCTCAGTAGGTTTTATTTTAAGAAGTTGAGGTTCTCTTTGAAAGAGTGCTTCATGTTATCGTGTATTATGTTAAAATCTCAGTCATAGGTAAACAAACATCATAGAAAGATAAGTATAACTAACGTATAATTTACATTTATTCATTCACATTTTTGTTGCATCTTTTCTTCCTTTCCAAATTTCCCTATATGCTGATGAATGGTAAAGATAATTTTGTTCATTCAGAAATTTTTTTCAGTTAATCTTAAATATTTTCAAAATAAGATGTTGACTTGATTGTGAGAATCCACACCATTATATTGGGATAGACTTTTCCTAAAATGAATGAAATACAGTTTGTACGTAGAGTTAGATTAATGAAATGTTAAAGAATGATTAATTTACTGAGTAGTAATAAAACAAATGATTCATGCTGTCCTTAATAATACTTTTATATAATACTTTGAGGTTTGTAAAGTGCTTTTTTCATAGAATTGAAAGTACCAGTGTTGTAGTTCCTATTTTATAGTTGATGAAACTGATGATTAGAGAATAGTCGTACAGTGTTGGAGCCACTATCTGAACCTAGCTCTCCTGAGAAGTTTGGCATTTTTTCTACATTTCTTCTAATTGTCCTAAATAAGCCATTTAAAATGTATAAAATACAGAATAATGTGTACCAAAATGTGTTAATATTAAGTTTCCATAGGAGTGTTGAGTACCTTAAGGATTCAGGTGCTGACACCCTTATTAATTCTTGGTTTTTTGTCTTTTATGAGTGATACTGAAGTATTAAAATGTTTAAACAATTAAAGCACTTATAATACTTCAGTTTTGGAAAGGGCCAATCATAAATAAGGTGAGCACTGTAACTTTATTGTATCCTGATAAATATGTTGGAATTCCTTTTCAGCTTTTTCTTGATAATTGTTCTTGTTTATACAGCTAATTTGCTGAAAATATTAATTTTTCAATGGGATTCTCCTCCCTAATCTTAAGACTGAATGTGTTTTTAGTAGTGTTGCTTTTTTCTTCCTTAAAGAGTATTTTAGAGATGGACACTTTCAGAAAAAAACAATGTTATTGATTCCTTATATTTTGTTGAGATTGCCTAATTTGTCATTAACCATTGGAGAAAAAAAGTTTATTTCTGTAATTCTTTCCCACAAATTATAACATTCTGTAGTTGGATAATTTTAAAGCTGGTATATAATTGGAGGCAGAGTACATGTAGAAATAATGGGTTTTGTGTGTGATGCTGTGTTTTTCTGAAATGCTTTTGAGATCTACATTATTGTTCATACTGGGGATACTTATTGAAAGAGGTGGGGCTTTTTCCCTTAAGATTTAATTCCCTTAATACTCATTTGGGAAGTTACCTGTAAACTTTCAGTTCTAGATTGAAATGCTGTTTTGGGCTGGCATAGGGATATGTTTTGTGAAATTTGTTATTTTTGTGATAACACATGGAAAATATACATTGCCATAAATATGTATTATGCTAATATAAAATTGTGGTCCCTCTTTTTTGCTTAACTATTCTGTATCCTTCAGGTATTTATTATTACCATTTTTGTAACAAGAACAGTATGCACAATATGCTGTCTGCATTGAGCATTTTTCTATCAGTTTCTCTTCTCCCCTTTTATGTCTTACTTAATCTATCACACATCTTATTGCTTAGATATTAGATCAAAAGCAACAGATGAAAGCACACAGAAAGCCTTCTAGTATAACAAAATGTAGCATTCATTTATGCTAATAACCCTTTCTTTTGGGATCATAAGAACAGAAGGTAAGATCAATTTATTGTTTTAAACCATGTTATACATTGAAATCTGCCATTCAAAAATGAAACTTTTCACAGTGTTTTTGAAAGGCCAGAGTGTAATGTGACACTGAAAACTTAAGGGAAAGTGTTTATTTGAAAGTACTGCAGTAAATCAGGGATTGTCTTACTCATGTTAAGTATTTTAAAATATAACAGAAATGTGATTTTCTAAGACATTGTATATAACAGTTTGAATAGCTTAACATGTTCCTATTGTGATTTTTAGGATCTTATGGTTGGTGATGAGGCAAGTGAATTGCGATCAATGTTAGAAGTTAATTATCCTATGGAAAATGGCATAGTTCGAAACTGGGATGATATGAAGCATCTGTGGGATTATACATTTGGACCAGAAAAACTTAACATAGATACCAGGAACTGTAAAATCTTGCTTACAGAGCCTCCTATGAACCCAACAAAAAACAGGGAGAAGATTGTGGAGGTAAATTTAAGATGGGATTTATGTATATACGTGTTTTTGTGAGAGAATTGCAGAATTTAAAAAAAATATAGAAATCTCGTGTTGTCTTCTTCTCCAAACTTTGAAGATGTGAATAACTTTCCATGAAAGGTAAGTAACCAAAGGGAAAAGGAATAAAGAAAGTCTAAGTCATCAACAGTGTGGGTGATTATTCTGCTATATTTGTGTAGCCTTTTAAACATAGAGACCTAGTGAAAGATTTTGAGCCAAAGTAGGTCCAAAAGAGAATCTAATTCAACCCTTTACTTTTACACTAGATCAAACTGCCCTTCAAAGTCTTGGCTAAGTTCACAGGCTCAGTGGTAGCAAAGCCAAGATTAGAGCCAAGGCCTTCTAATTTTGAGTCAGAATACATTTGTTAGGTTGAATGTTAGTAATAGTTAGCTATAATGTATAAGGTAAATTTGTCTTAGTCCAGTGAGTATAGATGAAATTAGTAACTTTTTCTTAAATGTAGCCATTTAAAATTAAAGTTTGACTTGTTGTTAAACTTTTGGCTAGCTCTGAGATGTTCAGATTTTTGCTTTTACATCAGTTTTTCTCTTTGTACTTAATAGCCCAATGTTGACTGCATCTTAAACTAATTTAAACATAGCTACACTTCCTTTGTTGAAGGTTAACAGAATTGTGAACCAATGTTCTTTTAAAGAGTCTTGAGTAGGGAGATGTTATTTTCTGGGAGATGGCTAGCATTTAAGTTAAAGGTTTAAAAAGTAGGAGTTTACATATTGAGCTATAGTTTTAAGAACTAATTTCATTCAACTACCATTTACTAAGCACTGGATGTGTACCAAGTACTGTGTTACATACAAGACCAGATACAGAGATAATTAAGACATGGTTCCCAACCTAGCAGAACTTACAGATATTGCTTATGGTTTTTTTTTGGATTTACCATTTTAGTTTTTGGATTCTGTGCTTTTGAATATAAATTTGGCTATAACTGGCAAAGTCTAATTTTAAACTTATCATCCAAAGAATTGTCCTGTTAATAATAACAAGAGTAATAATAATAAAGTCATTTATATAGCATTTTGAGGTTTGCAGACTTTCCTCTTCACAACCCTGTAATGTGTAAATGGTATAAGTACTCTCCTTTTACAGATAAAGAAACAGGCTTATGGAAGGTGCTTTTTACTACTCCAAAAAACTTTAGTGATCTTACTAATAATAATAGGAATTGGTAACTTGACTCAGTGCAAGAGACAGAAAACTTTCAGGAGGGCAAGTCATTAGCTCCTAAAAGCTTTTTAAGTCTTTCTTAAAAAGAGGATGATAGGGGCAGCTAGGTGGCACGGTGGCTAGAGCCCTGGTCCTAGAGTCAGAAGGACCTGAGTTCAAATGTGGCCTCAAACATATAACACTTACTAGCTGTGTGACCCTGGGCAAATCACTTAACCCCATTGCCTAACGAAAACAAACAACAACAAAAAAAGAGGATGACAGAGAAGCAGCTAGGTAGCAGTGGATAGAGCACCCGTTCTGGCTGGAGTCAGAACGACCTGACTTCAAATGAGTCCTCAGACACTTACTAGCTGTGTGATGCTGGGCAAGTCACTTAACTCTGGTTGCCTAAGAAAAAAGATGATGATGGGGAAGGTAGGTGGCACAGTGGATAGAACACTGGCTCTGGAGTCAGGGGGACCTGAGTTCAAATCAGGTCTCAGACCAGACACTTGACACTTACTATCCCTGTGACCCCGAGCAAGTCACTTAACCCCAATTGCCTCCAAAAAAACAAAACAAAACAAAAAAAGAAGATGATGGTGGGATGGAATGCTTGCCAAAGTGTGTCATTAATATAATTGCTTTATTATATTTGGTGTCAATAAGCCTTAAATTTTATAAACTGCTTTTTTATGTTATGAACATTATTCAGATTTTTTTAAAACTTAAAGGTATAGATTTTCCTCAACTCTTTTTTTCAGTTCATGGAGAATAATAGTGTGCATAATCAGAAATCATGAGTAAGTGTTCACAGTTGGATTAGATTTGAGGCCTTTGAATGTCACAGGTTCCCTGTGACCCAGGAGTCACAACTCTGATCCACCCAAGGTTATGAAGGAATCTGCCTGCTAAAGCAGTCCATTTCCCATTGGCTACCCAGCTGGCATGCTGTTCAGATAGGTGGGCAGAGTGTCCTAACCTAGCTGGATTGCTCCATAGCAAGGCAGTTCTAATTTTTGCCCACTCTCACTTGACTATATACATTTTTAGTTCTTTGTCTCATAATGTCCTTTTTTCTTTTCTAAATTATTACCAATACAAAACAATGAGCTTCTCTGGTATTCTACAATTTGAATTGAAATTTATTTCCCACAGAAAGCATTGATTAAGGTAGTCTTAATCTTAAATAGAAGTCTTTCATTTTATTATAATTGCTAAATAACTGAAATGCTCAGAATCTTTCATTTGTATTATTTTGTTAAATTGGTGATGTGATTCAATGAATTTCACAAAACTATCATCAAACTAGAGGAATGTGTGATTATGTAAGTAGTGAGAGCACAAACTGATTAGAGCTGGAAAGGCAAGACTTGTGTTGAACATGGGCCAAATTATATAGTGTTGGTTTTCTGCAACATTTATTAAGAGAGAACTAATCAGTAAATGAATAATACACAATGAAGGTCGATTAACTTTCTAAGGTTTTTCTTGTAGTCATGGATACTTTTAATTTCTTTTTAGGTCATGTTTGAGACTTACCAGTTTTCTGGTGTGTATGTAGCAATCCAGGCTGTTCTTACTTTGTATGCTCAAGGTAGGTGAAACTTAACTATCAGGGAACTATTTATCAATTTTTCAACTGTATGTTAGCTTATTCAAGGAAAACACATTCTTTTTCAGCTAGATCATCTGTTGTGTATGCTCTAAATGTTTTTTCAATACTGCAGATTTTAAATCTCTGAAATAATTTGGGAAAATCAGTCTGTTATGGACTTTGAATTCCCAAAATTACCTTTTACTAAACAGTAAAAGGTCTGGTTTAGATAAACACAAACCGACTTACTAAATACTGCTGAACTAAGGAAACAGTTTTTTAGGCTAGTAATATTTTCTTTGTATTTATCCTAAAATTATGATACTACAGGCAGTAAACATACAGAATTTCTTACCCTGAGAAGTGACACAAGTAGAAATGTAGGTACAGCAGGTATTTAGGTGATCACGGGTGGTAATTTTATAATGGACTGAAAAGGAAAAATTAGAATAGTTTGTAATAGATATTTAACATTTCAAGATGTATTTTGAACATATGCTGATTTGAATAAACCAAGGCCTGCACCTGCTGTAGTGTTTCTGCTCTTGGTGTTTTATGCAACAAAGACTTTTAAATACTTGGCTAGTGTTCTTTTCTGCCTTGGTTGTTTACATTCCTGAACCTTTTTTAAAATACAAATTTTGTGATAATCATCTACTGTCATATATGAAAAATCTTAATTAAATCAACCCCTAGTCATGATGAAGTTAAATATAGTAGAATTTTTAAGCTATTTGCTTTGCTGCTGTGCACATAAATACACAAATATTTGCTTTAGAGGATTTCAGCAAGTTTTGAAGCATATTGAAAAATATTTTTTTCTTAGAGAAATGAAAAACATTGTAGAGATAAGTCAATGACTACTTGAATCTCATTAATTAATTTGAATGTCATCTACAATTGCCACTTGAATCCATGGGAATACAACATCCTCCCGTAAATCCTCAGGGGACCCACCTCACATACTAAAAGCCTTCTTTTAAATCTGGTGACATAAATAATATATATATTACAAATATAAATACAAAGGAGCACCACAGACTGTCCAGTATACATCTCTCTGATGTGTCTCTTTACCTAACTTCTTTTGTGCAATTTATGGTTATTAAAGTATTTCATTAAAATCGTGACCATGGTTTTAGAACTCATGATCACTAAGAATTGAATGAATGAAAATGCACTTTTAAGTGCTTACTTTGTACCAGGTGCTGTAACAAGTGATAAGGATATAGCCAGATACCAGATACTTATCTTTTGCCTTTTGAGTGATCTTCAGTTTTAATTCTGGAGACTATGATGTTCCATGCTTTATAGCTATACATCACCACTAAAAGAATATTGTGTTGGTTTTTTAATGAGCTTTTATTTTGAGGAGCAACTGGGTGGTCAGTAAAAGGCTTTTTTACAAATTGTATTTTTTATCAGAATACATGTTTTCAGTCAAACAATTGCCTGTAAGGTAGAGAGAATATAAGATTTCGTGGCAGTTGCTATTTGTGGTGGGGTTTTTTTGTTTGTTTTAAATCAAACATTTGGTTTGGGAGAAGAAAATACTAGAGTTTTCTTAACATGGTATCCCACATGCATTTGTCAGAATACAACAAGAATCATACAAGATTGAAAGGTGTAATAAAAAACTTTGTTTAACTTACTGTTTATTAAAACGTTAGCCATATATCAGGGTACAAAACTTGCCAAAGGTATTTGCCACGTCCTAGAGGATTTCCTATGTTGAGTTGAAATGGAAAAATTATTATCTATGGATGGAGAGGTCCCTGAGATACTCCATTTGTAAATGACGTGCTTTTCAGTTGCTATATTAAAATTGATTTTTAAAATCTGACTTTTAGAATTAAGAATTTTTCAGAAATATTATTAATTGGATGAAGACAGAGTTATTGTTATTAACCTTGTAATCTCAGAACTGGGGGAGGAATAGCAAGTATGTGAGATAATAGAATTTGAATCCAGAAATGTCTTAACAGGCTGGAACAATGAGCTTAATATTAAAGTGACATTCAGTAGGAATAAATGTGAAATCTTATACTTGGATTCAAAGAAATCAATTATGTAAGCAAAGGTTGGGAGAAACATGCCTAGAAATTACTTAATATAAAGAAGACTGGTATTTACGATGGACTGCTAGTGCAGTGTAAGTCATCAATGTTACATGGCAGTCAAAAAAGTGAATTTGAAATTAAGCCCAGTTAATAAAAGAATATGTAGTGTCCAGAACAAGGACTTTTTAGTTTCATTGTACTCTGCATTGATCCAATCATATTTGAACTATTGTGGCCCATTCTAGGTGCTACATTGAAGGAAGGAAATCATAAGTTGGTCCAGATAAGAGTGACCAGAATGTTAGAGGGACCCAATGTTACTTGCAAGGATTAGTTGAAAGAACTCACAATATTAACCTGAAGAAGAGGAAACCATAATCATCACCTTGGAGTTTCTGAAGGGTTCTCATGTGGAATCCAGATAACTTTCTTTTTGCCTCATAGGACGAAACTAGGACCCTGATTTAGTGGATACAGTATTGGATTTACTGTCTGGAAGACTTGAGTTTGAATCTGCCTCAGACCTCTCATTGGCCATGTAACCTAGACAAGTCACTTAACCTTTCTGAGCCTCAGTTTCCTCATCTATAAATGATATAGAATTGGACTTGATGACTTCTAAGGTTCCTTCCAGTTTTAATCTCAAAGGCAATGCAGTTTAGTTACTAAAGTGTTAAAAAATGGAATATCACATTTCCTGTGGCATAGTGAGTTCCCCCATTATTTGGAGGGAGTCAGGGGGAGTCTTTCAGTAGAAAAGAGTTATACCTCAGGTTGAGTTTAGACTTCTGATTTTCCTTCAAATTTTTAAGATTCTCTGATTATTTTTTAAAAATATTTTTTTTACCTTGACCTTTTTTCTCTCTCTGAGTAGAAAAGAGTGAATGAACATTCAGTTTATAGCTATAAGCCAGCATCTATTAAAAGGAATTTTGAAAATTTTTGATATTATGAATATCATCTTTGAATAAAAACCTTAGTTTTTGTAAAAAATATTTCCAGTGTTCGTAACTTTATTTTCCTCTAGTTGGCTATCTTTAGTTATTTTTAATAACACTTTTGAAAAATTTAATCTAAGAAAGTTTAATGATGCTAGCAGATTTTAGTATAAAGTCCAATAATGACTGTCATTTCAGTTCCAGGAAGTGATATTCTTCTGCCTCATGGTTACAGATAGTACCTTTCAGTGTGGGTAGCTGTGTCTTACAAAAGCATATTGTTGGGTGAACTTGGAGATAGTATGTGATCAGATTCATTAATTCAACAATGAGAAAAAGGTATTAAGGGGTAGTTAGGAAATAAAGGTTGGAAAAGTACATTGGAGCTAAACCATGACTTTAGTTTAAGTGCAAAGAGTTTGGATTTTATCCTGTATGCAGTGGAAGCTGTTGAAAGTTTTTGCATAGAGAAATGATCATTTAGGGAGATGAAAGTAGCCTGAAAAATTGGACAGGGTGAAAAGTGTGGAGCAGCTGTGATCTGTACCAGTGGAAAAGTGAGTATTCACAGAGTCATCAAATTATTTAAATGTGGCACAGTTTACAGGGGGAGAAGGAGAAAGGAAATGTCACATCTGGAATTTGAAGGCCAGGTATGCAGATATAAATAAGGATCTGAATTTAAAGTGATAAAAATGGAAAAGCAAAGACAAATGTGAAAGACAGACTTGGAGACAATTGGTTTTGGGAAACAAAGCCTTTTATTCCTTCTTAAGTCTCCTGTAGCAAACTTCCTTTCTCCACCTCCATACCCGACCCCCCCATGTCCACCCCTACCCCTTGGTCGAGAACCTTATTTCATAATACTACACTGAAAAAATTGGAGCCATTGGTTGAGAGGTCTTCCTTTTGCCCTCCTTATTTCAGATCACTCAGATATTTTCCCGTACCATCTCCTCCTTCACCCCATCTCATGTAAAGAGGTAGCTCTTCAACCTGAGAAAACCTCTCTACTGTCACCCTTGACCCCATGCCATCTGTCTTTTCCAGCAGATTATGCTCTCTAGAACCCTACATTTTTGACACTGCTATATCTTAGTTCTCTCCCTATCTATCTTATCACTTCTCAGTTTCCTTTGCTAGATTATCATCTAGGTAATGCTCACTAACTATACATGTTCCCCAAAGCTCTGTCCTGGGCCCTGTTTTCTTCTCTCCTCGGAGTCTCATTTAGAGATCTTAGTAACTCCCATGAGGTCATTTATCATCTCTGTATAAAGGATTCCCACGTCTTTATATCCAGCCCTAATCTCTCTACTGAACTATTAAGTTATGCACCTTTTGAACATCTCAAATTGGATGTTCTGTGGGCATCGCAAATTCAACATATCCAAAACAGAACTCATTATTTTCCTTCCTCCACCTCTCCTCTTCCATACTTTATTGATGAGCGTGCCACCATCTGGTCACCCAAATTCACAGCATCAGTGTCATCCTAGCCTCTTCTCTTGTATTTAGTCCACATAATCCAGTCTGTTGCTAAGTCATATCCTTTCCATCTTCACACATCTCTTGTATGTGTCACCTTCTCTCAACTCACACAGCCACCACCCTAGTTCAGACCCTCATCACTTCATGCTTAGCCTATCTTACAAAGTAATACAATGGATTACAATTATAAATCTGATTGCTCTCCCTCAGGTTTCTCCATACTCCAATTCTTCCTCCATTCAGCTGCCAAAGTGATTTTTTTTAATTTAAAGATGTTTATTAAGAAGTGCTTGGATTTTTTTTTAAATTAGGTGTACTTTTATACAAAATCAAAAATGAGATTCTTAAAAATCTCAACTTGACCACATATGAAATAATTTTAAAACCCTTAAAGGTATATTGAGAAAATTTAAGTTTTTAAAAAATGTTTGACATTCCCAAAAATAAACCTCTTTAGGTAAAAATAATAAAAACCCTGTGCTACATAGATAATTCAGGGAGTTCTAGTTAT